CACAAAGCAACAACAACAACTACCAACAACAACAACCAACAACAACAACCAACAACAACAATATAAATATTACCACACATAAAATTTCATTGGCTCTTCAGTACCTAATCCAACCCTGCCTGACCATATTGGCGCCTTCATGGTTAATAAAATAAGAAATAAATAAATACAATATTGTATATAAATTGAATGAATGAATGAATACAATATTGAATATGAATTGAATGAATGTATGAATGAATACAATATTGAATATGAATTGAATGAATGAATGAATACAATATTGAATATAAATTGAATGAATACAATATTGAATATGAATTGGAATGAATAACGTGTTTTATCGAATAGTTTTTTGTAAGCGTTGTCGAAACCAAAAAATTGATTGAAGCATTTTTAAAAATAGAGTTTAAAAAAGTGAATGAATAAATAAATGAATGACTAAAGGAAATGGAAATTTTCAAAACCACTCAGGGCCGGGGGCTGCGAAGGGTGAAGAACAATAGCAACAGCAGGCAGGACTCACAGGAAAGCACCGTCAGCACCTCGTCGTCCATCAAAGAGTTTGAACTCTTCCAGCAGTTCTGCTCTGTTGATGCTGTTTGTGATTTTCAACTGGTTTGTTGTTGTGGCTGTCCTTGTTTCACTGTTTGTCGGTTGCTGAGTTCTCTTGTTTTTATGATAAATTTATGAAAAATAACGACTAAACAAAATATTTTACCAAACAATTCTAGAGTGATCACTTGCCAAATCATCACCAGCAACAACTGGTCAACAACAATTGTCCAGCAACACAACAACAACAACCACAGACCCAACAACAACCACAACCACAAACCCAACAACAACCACAAATCCAACAACAACAACTGTCCAACAACACAGCCTGCAACACTCTCGACTATCAACCAGACACCAGCAACTTCACACCTTCCCACAAATCGACCAACCGACCAACGGCTCTAATTCGAAACTCAATTAATGATAAGTTAGATAGGATATCTATTTTGAATAAAACTCCTGATCAAAAATCTGCCAAAACTGCAAACACAATTTCCTCAAAAATAGCATCCCAAAATTTAGTCGCCTCTCACAAAAATCTAACAAGCAACCATCTAACAAATCACAACGACCAAACGGTAGCAACGAATTATCCATTACAAACTTATCCAATCAAAAATTATCTTCAAAACATTCCTCCCAGCCATCACCACAGCTTCAAGGATATCGTAACCGCCTCGAACTGGGCAAACACAGAAAATATATCGACGATTTATAGTAGCGAGTCAAAGCGAGACAACGGTCGAAGAAACCTCAGAAACAACAAAAATCGACTAAATGGTGGTTGCTCAACAAATTTTTTTAGCGATAGCTTGAGGTCGTTGAAGTTTCTAGCAGGTAAAGGAAGTAGCAGTAGTAGTAGTGGGAAGGGTGGAAGAGAAGGAGGAGTGGATGGATTGCTGAGAGATTACGGGTGCTTCGTGGAGTTTCTCGATGGAACGGTGGCGAGGTTCAAATTCAACGTTAGTAATACACTGCTGCTGTTGCTACTGCTGCTGCTGTAACTACTGCTGCATCTACTGCTACTGCTGCAATAACTGCTGCTACTGCCGCTGCTTCATTTCAAAATTTTCTATTTTCAAATTTCACTTATTGTTATTCGTTGCCGATTGTGAGTAATGTTCATTTTCTGATTAATTTGCCACTTTAATTAGAAACCAATTACATAAAGTTAATTTTGACTGTGCCTTGAATGAAAATTTATAAAATTTATATAATGAACTAAACGCCAACCCCGCCAGCAAGCACATTACTACTGCAGCTACTACTATCAGTAAAATTCGACCTCCTACACCCACTGCTACTACACCCATTCTAACTTCTTTAACCACTGTTATCTACTTTTTTTTACTGCGTTCACTAGAAAAACACAAAACTTGACTAGAAAAAAATTACAAAAATTTCTATAAAAATTACTACGAAATTTCCTGCTAACATTCCTAGAAACAGAGCATTGGCAGAGACCTGATGTCTCAAGTATTTGATAGCCTGAATCTTCTGGAAACTGATTACTTCTCATGCTACTACAGGGCCAGCGATGCTTCAGCGAAGGTAGAGACATCAAAAATAATAGTAAAAATTAATTTCAAAATCAAAACGAATAAATATTTGTTGTTATTTTTTATTATTTGTGGTGGCAAATTTGAAAATTTCAATTGCCGGGACGTAAAAGTTTTAAAAATTCATCATTCATTAGTTTTGGATTAAGGAGGATAAGAACTTATTGAAGCAAGCGAGAGGTGAGTTGGTTTATTTATTCAATTTATTATTTTTTTACAGATTTATTCATTCACTCATTCTTCCGTTTATTTACTCTTTCACTCATTCATATTCATTCGTTTGTTTGTTCGTTCGTTCACTCATTCATCCGTTTATTCATTCATTCGTTAATATTTATTCATTCACTCATTTGTTCGGTTTTAACTCGTTTATCTATATCATTCAATCGATCATTCAATTATTCCTTCCGTCATTTTCGTATTTAATTGAAACAAAACTATTAATTTTGTGATTACAAACGAGTTGAATTTGTTAACAAACAACAACACCAAACAGAATTAAAAAAAAGTCAATTTGAAATATCAGCAAAATGCCAAAATTAATAATAAATTACTACAAAAACTATACACAGAAGCGTTAAACATTCCACACACACAACACGTTACAGAAACAACAACAACATCCCAGATCACACAAACAACGACGCAATGTAATCATATAGTAGATAACATCAGCAGCAACAGGACAACAAACTTACATTAAATAAAAAAAGCAAGCTTGAAATAAAACGTTAAAAAACAAGACGGCATATTAACCTTTGACCTGATGACCCACAGAATGCAACATGAGGATGAACTTTGGGGTCAAATTCTATCCAAATGACCCCTTAACCCTTCAGGAAAGCATTACAAGGTACTCTCTAACTTAACTTACGTACCCACCTAATTAGCCATGGTTTCGTTGTTAATTATAGTCAAATATTGGAAAATAATAAATTTTGGTTTTCGCAATTTAAAAAATCATGTGCTTCTCATCAATTCATAGAATGTTAGGCTCTGAATTTTTTATTGGTTTCAAAATCTTTATAATTATTTCAAAATAATTTTTGATTTATTAATTACAAGTATCATTATTAAAATTTCGTAACTTTAAATATTTCAAGTAGGGTAGAAGTAAATTCTCAATGTTTTCTATACGGTGGGAATGAATGATTCAAACTAACTTTTGAGAAAAAGAAAATTGATCTCATAAAATGAGAAAGAAATATATTTTAACTAACTCTACTTGAATGAAAATTTTATTTTGTATAATTCTGTTTAAGATTTTAATTTTAGAAATAACTTCATATGTAAAAGGTATCAATTGTGTCTGCAAGTTCGACAAGATATCTCAAACAAAAAGTATATTCATTTAATTAAATAATTAATTAATTAATCACATGTTCAGTTAATTAATTCATTTTTTATTCAATTATTTGTAGTTTATTGTTTTTTATTTCATTTATCAACTGATCAAATAACATGTGGTTCATTAATTCGTTGACGTTTCACAGTTTAGTTTTGTTGATTACTCATTTCTTCATCCACTCCATTCACTCACTCACTCCCTCATCTACTCACTTTCTCACGTACTCACTCCTTTATTCACTCACTCGCTCGCTCACTCACTCACTAACTCACTCATTCCTTCATTTAGATTGCCTTGCACTCGAAGCACTCAAGCCCTCCTCATGTCGTACGTCGTCCAATCAGAGATCGGGGATCACCTCCCTGATATCCATGGCAACGAGCCGTCATACTTACTAAACTTTTTAAAGCTCAATCCTGATAATGATAATAGCGTCGGTGATGATAACGATGTCGGAAGCGAGTTTATTCAGCGAGTTTTTCAATTACACAAAGCCCGATGGTTTGTATGATGATCCATTTGTTCTCATTTTCTCCATTAGTTCAATAATTTTTTTTCATTACCTTCATTATTTAGCACGCAAATTTTTTATTGATTCACCATAAAACTAATCCCTCCATCTATTATCATTCATCCATCCGTCCATCCATCCATCTATCATTCATCCATCCGTCCATCCATCCATCTATCATTCATTCATCCACCCATCCATCCATCTATCCATCATTCATCCGTCCATCCATCTATTATTCATCCGTCCAATTATCTTAACGTCTATCCATCTATTCTATATTGGAATACTTCAATATTCATCGAGATGAGCTTTCGATGAGCTTCATCACAGTCATCCTGGCTTCATTTTTTGGAGTAAACCATATCGTATCATATTCGTTCATTCATCCATCCATCCATCCATCCATCACCAGCGGCTTATCATCTACCTGCTCCGACAACTGTTACCTCATCAATGCCAGCTTATTACCGCTTTACGGTACGCACATCATCAGCACTCAAGTACGTTCGTCATCAAATTTCATTTCATCATCTTTCCAATCATCACTCTATCATCACTCTATCATCACTCCATCATTACTCCATCATCATTCTATTATCTTTCAATCATCATTCCATCATCTTTCAATCTTCATTCTATCATCATTCCATCGCCATACCGCTGTCGTTTCTTTGTAGTTTTCTTTTTAATCACGTTATCATTATCAATTCTAATGTCATTTTGTTATTATCTAATCATTATTTTGTCGTTATTAATAACTTATTCTTCAAAAACACAACGAAGGACTCAAAAGAGAACCTTATAAATCTTGGAGTGAACGCTTCAGGATTGCATGCATATCAAACTAATCTGGAGGTCCATTACAAATGGTGTCACATGATGAGGATATCATACAAGAGGGACAAGTTCATGCTAGAGATGAAAAAAGATGATGGTGATGATGATGTTGGTGATGATAACGCTGATGTTGGTGATGATAATGATGATGTTTGTGATGATAATGATGATTTTTGTGATGATTATGATGACGATGTAGTAGCAGCAGTAGTAGTAGTTACGGCATAAGTAGTAGTAGTGGTAGGTGTGGTAATGTAAGTGGCGACTTTGTGATAATAATAACATCCTTCGCCAAAAGACTATTTTTTTAATATCACAACGAAAAACATAAAACAAAATAAGAAAATAAAAATAAACGAACACTAAAAACAACCCCCATTGCCATAGAAACGCTGGCCAGCTGAGAACAGAGATGTGCTGACATTCAAGATGTCCAGTCGAAAACAGGCCAAAAAGTTTTGGCAGCTGGTTGTCGAACATCACACGTTTTTCAGGTTACAAATTTTTTCCGTTTGAGTGAATGATAATAATGCTTAAACATGAAAATAAAATTTTCAATTATACCATAAAACCGGTAAAATGAAACATTTTTTAGAATGAAATATTCAGAAGCAGCAACACCACCTTCCACAAAATCTACTGCTACAACAACGTCAACAGCAGCCGCGAAAAAACTTTTTAAACCTCTGAGGTCAATAAGTCAGAGTTCATTCAAGTTCGAAGGTCGAACTTTGTACCAATCTCTGAAGGCCTCATCCATGATTTCGAGAGAGCAACCAACATTTAATAGAAGTATGTTTCTAATCAAATAAAGATAGTGTAATAGCTACAGTGTCTGGCTCTGCGTCGCAGTGACCGGGTTTGAATGCTTAGAGATCCCACCAATCACACTCAATACGTGTGATGCGTGAATGCGCGCGTATTCACATGCGTTGTGTGTGTGTTAATGTGTTTGTGTGTGTTGGTTCCTCTGATTGAGTAATGTGATGAGAGAAAATAACCGTAGCCATTAATTTATCAACACCATTTTACATGTTTGCATCATTTTACTCCTCACCCTCTTCATCATCTTTACCATCTACCTCACCATCATCATCACCATCTTCAGATTCCTTTCCTCAATCGAAATCTTGCTGCAGCTCGTTAGATGGCATCACATCACCTCAGTCACTCACATCACCAACTTCACCACCACCACCAGCCCCAACAACAGCAACAACATCATTCTATCGTAATCGTCTTGGTGATAATCGTGATGATGATCACCACATTCACGATGATGATGATGATGGAAGTGGTGGTGGTGGTCATCATTATCATGATGACGGTGCAAATCATCATGGTGGTGATGAGGATGATGGTGGCGGAGGTTCCAAATCGGATTGCTACGTTTCTGGATCAAGCGTTCGTTTGCCGTGTTCTTGTGGTTGTGGTTGTTGATGCTGTTTCTGTTAACGTTGTCTCTGAAGTGTTGTTTTGAATGAAAATTTTTGAAAATATAAATGAAAGAAAGTTTAAAATAAATACGTTAACAAACAAATAAACAATTAACGGAGTGAATAAATAAAAAACGCAGACATATCAAGTCAATCTTTCACTACTGACCAAAAACGATCCAAACTTAGAAACCATTCAACAGCAATCACAACAATATCCACCGCAACTACAACAGCCACAACATCAGCCGCAGCGACCACATCAACTGCAACAACCACATCAGCTACAGCAAAAACAACATCAGCAGCAGCAGGTTATTTGGCGAAAACCTCAACTCTATAGTCCACGACTTCAATATTCTTTCGATCAGTTAAACAGCAAAGGCATGTACAATAAACAGAATCATAGCTACCAAACTGAACAATATCAACAAGAACGACAGCAGCTGATGCAGCAGCAGCAATCACAACAACAGCAACAACAAACGCAATCGCTACGACCACTAACAACAAAAACAACGCGTTATTTAAAGAAAGGAAAGAATAGCATAATGTATGGAAAGCCATCAATCACATCAACAACAACAACTTCATCAGCTGCAACATTAACACAATATTCTTCATTCGATGTTTTAGACTCAAAAAATATCACTAAAAATTCGCGCGTTAGTTTGGGAATTTTCATATTAAAAAAATTATTGGTCTATATTTTCAAATAAATTAATTTATTTTAATTAAATTATTAACTTACTTTTACTTATTAAAATTAGAAGTAAGTTTAAATTAAATTTTTATTTAAAAAAAGCAGCAGTTGAGAAAATCGTCAACCGGTGATTTCAATGATTACGACGTCAACCTCCTCTCAGATGATTATTTGATCCCGAGCTCATTCAATATGGAAATATAAGACGATCCGTTTTATTAATTCATTCATTCGTTCGTTCGTTTATTTGCTCGTTCTCTCATTCATTTATTTATCAATTAAGTCATTAGTTTGTTCGTTCATTCGTTCGTTCGTCTATTCGTTCGTTCGTTGGTTCATTCATCTGTTCAGCCATTGATTCCTCAAATGTTCATTTCTTATTGCACGATATACTTGATATAATAAGATGACAATGTTAAGTAATTATATTTAAATCGCACATTTTCTTCTTCTTGAAATCTTGAACTTCATAAAAATTGGATATCATCGTTCATAGATTGTATCCATTCACTCGGTCATTCATTCGTTCATTCATTCGTTCATTCATTCGTTCATTCATTCGTTCATTCATTCGTTCATTCATTCATTCATTCATTCGTTCATTCATTCATTCATTCATTCAACATTAAATGCATATATTACTCATCGGTCTCACCTCCCATCAAAGTTAAACAATATTTGATGACCACAATGTAAATTAATTTTTTCTTCGAAAATGTTCACTTCTTATAAATCAGGTTTTTACAAATTAAACGCTGTCCAGTATTTTTATTCAGTTTCTTCATATATAAATAAATAAACATATTTATTTGTTTATTTGTTATACATAATGATACACGCCACACACACACACACGCAAACACACACACACACATACATACACACACACACAACATAAATACATATATAAATATACAACTTTTCTTTTTTGTCTTGCATACAACTGTTCAATTTTCTTGTTTTACGATGGCATGTTTTTGTGATTTTTAACTTATCATTTTTTTCTCCAATTTTACTTAACTTAAAAAAAATTGAAAAATAGACATTTATCTATAAGTTAGAAGTTTCGTATTCCATTTTATAAAATTTTTTCCAAAATAAACAGAAATTTTAACAAAGATTAATACCTATTATATCCATGCTCCTTATGTAACCCACACACACATTCATACACACACATACAGACAGACACATACACACACACACACACACACGCATAAATAATTAGATTAAAACAGAGAATTATTAGAATGTATTAGGTACATGTGTTCTAAGTATACGGTGATCACGTTTGATGGTTGAGAGTATAATATATATAACGCTACAAAATTTAATCTAATTTACTTTTAAACATTTACTATAACAACAACAACTACAGGTATCAATAAAATAAACTCCCAATTTTTTTCGTCAGATTGGATTTTGATCTAATTCATCAGCTAGACTTAATCAAAAATTAAATTTGGCAATGATCTGTAGTATTCAGAAAAGATGTCACCGCTTAAATACCGCCCTTTTTAGACTGATGTCCTCACCATCTGTTGGTTTGGTTGCCACACAACATACTCATACTGACACAACACAATCTTCCTCTATCAGACACAGAAGTAACACTCTTCTAAGAGGAAGTTACAGCGTGCTTAATAATGATGACGTCATCTATTTCAAATCTTTCCTACCCGATCCGACTATGCTTCTACAAAATGAAGATGTCATCAATTACAATGTTGACTGGTTGAGGCGTTTTAGAGGTGAATCTATTTTACTATTCATCATTTTATTTTTTGAATTCAATTACTTGAAAGCTGAAATAATGTTTATTAAAAATGTGTGTATATATATATATGTGTGTGTATGTGTGTGTATGTTTTTGTGTGTGTGTTTATATATTTATTTATAATTATAAGCTATATACTTGAGTATTAATGTAGTCTTTTCCATTTAGCAAGTTTCTTAACAAGTCTTAGTTGTAGTGTAGGGCAATCTACATTTTCATTTTTTTCTATTTATGTATAATTTTGCACCTTTGGCCATTAAATATAATGATGACAATAATTTTAACAATAATTTTAACTATAATTATAACAAAGAATAATTAATAGTGTATAACAATAATAAACCAGAAACTTTAAACTAAGCACCTCTATTTTATTATAAAATGATCAAGTCTTTTTTTTGAGTTTTTCAAATGTACTAATTGCATAGAATGCATTGGAAAAAATCATTCCACAATAAAATGCTTGATATTTAATTTTTTAACTTTCTCAAATAAGGAAACAGTCGGTTGGTGTTGAGACCGAAAACTACAGAACACATCTCAAAAATTTTAAAATATTGCAATGAGAGGAGGCTGGCAGTGGTACCTCAGGGTGGAAACACAGGTCTTGTCGGCGGCTCCGTACCCCTTTTTGATGAAATCATCCTTTCTACCCAACTGATGAATGAGATTATAAATTTTGATTGTAATAGTGGTCAGTTGCTTATTTTGCATCAATTGTTATTTGTGAATGTTTATTGTTTCATTTTAAGTTATTTTACAAGTTATGAACATCGTCGTCTTTGTTTATGAAGCATGCACTCTTCACTTCGGCTCTCTTCATTTGAGGTCAACGTCTGATTATAAGACTAATTAGCTAATGAGGAGTGAGTGAACTGTTCTTTCTCCATCTCCTAATCATGCAACGATTTTCAAAGAGATTTCAAATCGAACCAAACGCGATGAGGATGTACTTGATAGTTGGAAGCTGAGTTGGGCTTGTGCACATTTAAAAATCAGTTTTGGATGAATCTATGATAAAATAATTTTATTCAATGAGTATAAAAATTATAATTTTATTAACTATAATCTTGACAAAAAGTGAATTTGAATACAAATACGAACGAGATCATCGACATCTCTTGCGAATGCTTCTGAAAATTTCCAACAACATTTCTAGGCGTCCTAACCTGCCAATCAGGATGTGTGTTGGAGAATCTTTCGGCGAACGTCAGTGAACACGGATACATGATGCCACTGGATCTGGGATCAAAGGGATCATGCAACATCGGCGGAAATATATCAACAAACGCGGGAGGAATTCGATTGATTCGTTTCGGATCTCTTCATGGATCGACACTTGGACTGGAAGCGGTTTAATATTTCAAACTTTTTTTATTAATTAAGATTTGATAAAATTGAACATAATTCAAGCAGTGAGCAGACTATTCTTGCAAGAGTTTAAAAGTTCTATTTCAATACTCAAATGTTCTTTATATTATTATGTGCTAATTAGGTAACAGCGGATGGGTCGGTGATTGACTGTCTGACATCTATGAGGAAAGATAATGTTGGCTACCACTTGAAGCACCTTTTCATCGGCTCCGAAGGCACTCTTGGCATTGTCACCAAAGTTTCCATCCTCTGTCCCAAGGCACCATCGTCCGTTAATTTGGCTCTTTTAGGTGCTAACATTTTTTCGTACTTTTATTAATAGGTGGTCATTTATGTAGGCGTGTGTAAGACTTTGAGTTTAGTTTGTAGTTCGTTGCATGCATGTATCTATCTGTTGCATGCATGTTGTATCTATTTGCGAAGATGTTTTTCGAAAATGAATTTGTATGCGTAAAAGTAATACATAATTGAATTTTAATGAATGAACTAAATGAACTTTACATTTTTCATACAAATTTTTATTCAAAGGTTGTTCAAACTTCGATGACGTTCTGAAGATTTTAGCTTTAACCAAATCAAACTTGGGTGAAATCCTGTCAGCCTTCGAGTTTTTAGATGCCGTCTCTATGAGATGTTCTGAGCGATATCTAAGCCAAAAATGTCCAATCCAGAGTGCGCCATTCTACGTTTTGATAGAGACGTCGGGTTCAAATGACGATCACGACCAAGAGAAGTTGGGTGGTCTGCTGGAGGCTGTTAGTTCATCTGGACTGATTGTTGATGGCACTCTAGCTACCGATCTCTCCAAAATTTCGGTCAATAAATTTATTCATTTATACGATCATTTCTTTGTTATTCTGTCATTTATTTAATAGTTATTTCGTTTCGTTTTCATCGAAAACAGATTGGCGCGTATGTACACAAACAGACACGCACGTAAGCACAAACAAACATACAAACAACAGACACTATGGAAGCTTCGTGAATCAATTACACTGGGATTGTTGGAGGATGGTTTCTGTTACAAATACGATGTCTCCTTACCACTCTCGTCTTTCTACGACATCGTCACACTGATGGAGGATAAACTGAAAGAACTGCCGTATTTGAAAGTGTGTGGCTACGGTCATGTGGCCGATGGTAAGTGCTTCCATTGAAAAATAATTTCGTTTCATTGTACTTTATTTAATTTCATTTGAATCATACTTAAACGCATACACACGCAAACAAATTTAATTACACATCCACATATATATATTTTTATTTATATAAACATATATACTCGAACAAGTAATAAGCACATGCACGTACATGCATACGTATACGCTGGTATACACACGTACTCACACATACACAACACATGCACACATGCAGGCAATCTCCATTTCAACGTCACCAGTCGAATATATGACGAACGGATTTCCGGAACGATTGAGAAGGAGCTGTACAAGTTCGTGGCGAGTGCTGGCGGCAGCATCAGTGCGGAGCATGGGGTTGGCCAGTTCAAGCGAGACCACATGACGGACGTTAAATCCCCCGAAGTTCTATCTCTCATGAGAAATATCAAAAGCATAATGGATCCCCACTGCATTCTCAATCCTTATAAAGTTATTCCTTAGATTTAAAAAAATAAGCCAAACGAGTTATTTTTAAAATTGTAAAGTTGTACAGTTGGTGCATATTTATTTTTTTCATTATTATTGATTTAATTTTTCTTCTGTTTTATTTTAAATCATCACAAGACAAATTTGCTGATATTTTACAATAGCATGAGAAGTAACTAAATTTCTTCGTTGAGAATTATATCTTCCCCTTTTCAACCTTATCCATTCTAGCTGCCCATGCAGCCACTCGTTCTTACCTACCCAAATATTCAACTATCACTAGCGCTTCCACAAACGCTCAAACGATTTTCAAAACATGATTCCAAAGCTTTCCTCCATTCTTCTGGTTTTAATTTAACCTCTTTGCTTTTTACAACAAAACGATATTTATCAACATAATAACATTTCTCACGATCCATCGTTTCTGGAGTTGGAGAGTTGGGACCATCTTTGGGCACGCTGGGACCATCGTTGGGCACATTGGGCCGTGAAATCGTCTTGCTGTCTGGTGGTTTGCTCTCTTTTTTGAAATTTTCTTTCTTGATGTTTTTTTTTTTTTGTACCTTCTCTTCATCTTTTTCTGTTTCTATTGTGTTTAATGAAATTTTTTATGCATTCTTGAGACCCTTTTTTGGAGGTCTAACGCGAAATGACATATTTGAAATTGCCCCGTCTGACGATACCTCCTTTGAAATTTTTTGAGTTGAAAAATATTCAAAATTTTATTGTTATCGTTATTGACATAAATTTATATGAAATGAACATATCACATGTTACATATTGGAGGCATTCAGAACATTTTTGTGGTAATAACTGGTAATAGCTTACGCGGCTGAAAAAGAATATCCAAAATTTTATTTTTTCGAAAAAAGCAGAAGCGCAAGAAATAACTTGTTCAACGAACCGTTTTCAGTTTATATGAGACATGAGTAATGAATGATCTTGTGATCACGTTTTGTCTTTCATAACTAAATTTTAATACTATTTTAAAGAATTTAATGGCTTGTAGTGTAGAGTGAAATGAGTTGCCGAATTTGTCATTCTCCTTAATTTTTAAACAACTGCTGCAACTTAATGAAATAGTAATTCAATGAATAGTCACCAAATTTTATCTAACTTATGAATGACGTAAACTGTAGAAACCGTTTATTTTATATATTCCTTTGCTTACTGTCTGAATCATTTGCGGTCGAAAAAGCAACAATGATTAACAAACTTGTTATTGAAAGACATTTCCTTCGCAATGTTGCCGCCAGCCGCAAGTACGGATCACCAAATCAATCGAATTTTTTCATTCTAATTTTCTAACTTTCTTACATTTTAATATTTATTTTGACTGCATATTTTATTTTGTAAAACTCGTAAACATCGTTACGTCAGATACGATGGTCTGTTTCTTAATATCAAAGTATTACATTTGATTTGTGTAAATAAACAGGCTAAAATGAGGACATGTAAATCAACATTTGCTTCTCATTGAAGTGCGTGCGTGTGTGTGCGTGTCTGTGTGTGCGCGCGCATGGATATTTTCACAATTAAATAATTTAAACCCCTTTTGGTTTTTACGCATTTTTTTAAATTTTTTTAAAGTTTTCTGAAACGACACATGTGAAGAAATTTCAAAATGACTTTTTTTAATCACTAGTCGTCATCGCTAGTTGGTTAGTTTGATTCTGACTGGGTTGCAGTAGGTTTTGAGTCATTTTCTTCAACATTTTTAATTTCAGTAAAAACTTTCTTGTCATCAATTTCTTATTTAACCTCTTCGTCAACATTTAAATTATTTCAAATTATTATCAATATCAACTGTCTCACTAAAAACATTTTTTAAAATTTTTTATGTTATTTTTTCTTTTTTTTCCTATTTTTCTTTTGCGTCTTACGCGGTTGCTTATTGTACCTGCTTGAACCTGGTGACCTGGGTGCGTATGAAGATGTCGCTTTAGATGGAGGTTTAGTTGGAGTTGAACTCTTTGACTCGGGGCCGATACTTGGCTGGAACCCTGTTTGAGGCACTCCTATTGCGTCGTAGTACGTTCTACCAGATCCAATTGAGTCGGCTCTCATCCATCTCCATTCATTTGTTCCGTATTTAACAGAAGTCGAGCTATGAACATCGTCAATGACCGACTTTATAGTTTCGCGGTACGCTAGAATTTTTAACATTCTTATCTGATCATCCGTCAGAGTTTCGTTTTGCTCAAGTTCAGATTTAATTTTGTTGTAGAGCATGTGAACTCTCACTTGTTTAGGAATGGTTTTCGAACTTTTCTTATTTCCGGATATTTTATGTTTTTTGGATTTGCCCTGCTGCGGAATCGACCCACTCTTTAGATTTGCCAAAAGCTCCCGTTTTCGTTTCATTTCTTCCGACCTTATTTCATTATTAGAATCCAAATCCATAATCATTGCTTTTGTTTTCTTTTTCGAGTTTCTTTCGTTTACCAACGTTTCTATTGTTTTAGCTTTAACGACATTTTTTATTCAAATTATAACGTTGTTACAAAAATTTGGTATTTAAGAAATGCTCATAGGCGTTTGGGTAACTTACTTTCTCGGTTCTGCCTTCTGATGGTGGCAAGAGCCAATAGAGCCACCAGTATCGTCATCCCAAGAACAACCATGAAAATCCACAGCCATATGTAATCGGACTTGAAAGCTTGGTCCTTGTTCACAGTATCTAGAAGGAGCAAATTCGTTTCGTGCTCTCAAAAAATGAACCAAAAATTTAAAAAAAGCATATATATTTTTTTTACAACGAGCCTTTATCTTAACGCATTCAACAAATGCTGCAATTTATGGTCATTTGAAAAAATTAATTTCTCAATACAATACTAAATTTTTAAACAGTAAAATTTTGATTAAAATTATAAAATAAAGTAAAATAGAATGGACAATTAATCTGCAAACGAAATGAATAACAGACCAAACATACCTTGAATGACAATTAAACTTTTTTTCATAAAGTCTCCTTTTTTGAGCAAAACATTTTTGGGTATTTTGTCAAAGATCATGAAGCAGACAAAACTGTTTCCGTCATGTTCCAACTCAACCTTGAACTTCGTATTCAAAGTCTTTTGTGTTTTTTGATGGGTAGAGTAGGGTAGAAATAATTCATAAAAAAAACCAACTACCATCAATAACATCACATAGTCATCAACACATCATTATCACATTATCATCGTTATCACTCACCACAATGGTTGGATCTGTCCTGAAATTCTCTATCTGAAAATATTTCAAATTGTATCGGAGTTTGCCATCGTTGTCGAACAAGACTAAGCTCAATTTCAGTTTACCAGCTGGTGGTGATGATTACGGTGATGGTGAAGATGTTATAGTAATGATAAAGGTGGTGATGATTAATATTAAATAATATAAGTAATAATATAAACAATATTTATAATTATTTTAATTATAACAAGGCTACAACCGATATCTTCTCTATAATATATCGACACAGAACACCTCACGTCAACCTCTCGACCAGGATACAAAACCACATCCTCCGTTTTCAAAGTTAGAAAAGTGTCTAGGGGGAAAATTATTATTTATTTGTTTGTTGGTTTGTCTGTCTGTTTATTTATTTATTTAATTATTATATTTCGTACATGTTATATTTAGAAATAGAATCAGAATATTATGTTATTTCACGACTATAATGTTTCAATACTTTAAAATATCAAAAAACTAAATAATAATATCATTTAAATGAAATTTTTGTACCATTATTACTACCTTTCAAACGATAACGGACCAGCATTAAAATCGTTAGTTTTATTATCGATACTGACAAAAAGAAGTAAAAATATTCCAAAAAAAACTTGCAAAGCAACAATTTAATCAAGAATTGTATTCACACTAGCCAAACAACAATTTCATCAGGTATTTTATTCAAATTAGCCAACCAACCAAACAACGACCTCGATAAGAATTGTATTTCCATAAATCAACCAACCAAACAACTATGTCACCAAGAATTGAAATATAACTACTAACCAACCATCACGATAAAAAACACGTCCATGATATTGTCATCAGACATGCAGGTCAACATTAGTGATCTGGGCTGCCAGAAGACCATGAGGTCCTTACCAACGATTTTATTATTGTCCGGGGTATACTTTACCTTCCATTCGTCGAGGCATGGGAAGAGTTTGGCGGTCAGTTTTTGATTTATCATGGCGAAGTGCCAAACTGTTTTATTATTGGTTTTCGAATGAATGAAATTTTCGGATTAACAATTTACATATTTGAATTTAAAGTTAGAAGTTAACGATTTTTCTGTTAATAACATTATGAAAAATATGGTAGGCTATTTAGCTCAGTCGGTAGAAGTGTCATATCTCGAGTTGCTAACGCACGGTGATCTGGTTCGATTACTATGCGTTTAAACTAGTTAAGGGTAGTAGCTACAGCAGTGTTGGTAATTGTGTAGTAGTAGTAGTAGTTGTTGATTCTGTTGTTGTTGTTGTTGTTGTGGCAGTAGTATTAGACGTTAATAAAGAGCGAATACAAACCTTGCTCGATTCGCGAATCGATAACATCAGTCAGCAACAATATGATAATTTGGTAAACTTTCATTTAAGTAGAATGTGGATATGTTTAAAACAATAATTATTATCATTATTATTGTTATTATTGTTTTTTTTTCTAATTTTATGTGTGGGTTCGTTTTTTGATTTCGAATTAGCTTCAAATTTATTGTTTTATTTTTAATTTTTCTTATATCGTTCGTTTATTTCTTTTTATAAAAAAAAAGAATAACAAAGACTTATATCAATTTCTACAAAATACTTGTTTTTACATTATAATTCATCAAATATTGTAAAATTATCAAATATTGTAAAATTAATTTTTTTCAAAGTTTTATTAAGAATATTTAAATTGTAGAGATTGATTTCATGTTCATAAATAGACGTGCAACGCAAGTTGACAGCCCCAGCAGCCACAGCGGCACGCGACATGACGAGCAGAACTTCTCACTTTTCACCACAGGAGTCAAATTGGTACTGAGTGAAACCATCGACATTGTAGATGAGGGTTTTCCTATCAGCTTCGCCATTTTTGTTTCCGTAGCATTTGTCGTTCTCAAACTGGATGACGTAACATGTATCGGATTTCTCGCATTCTTCCTTGCATTTCGCCAAACTGTTCCCCCCCCCTTCCATGACCATCATCTCACTTTCAGGAAGTTTCTGGCCTTCGTACTTGTACCAGCAGCCTGCAGCGAATGATGAATGAAAAATAATTTAGGATCAACAACATTTCCATAACAGATTCATGTGAATCGATGACATTTTTATGAGAATTTTTAAAAACGTTTTCAACATAACAACACATAATTGATGGGAGCGTTTGTTTGAAAGAAAGGTGTAGTGTTCCATCAAGATAATGCGAGACATTATACATGTTTGGTCACTCGCTAAAAGCTTTTACAACTTGGCTGGGATGTACTGCCACACCTACCATATTCTTTAGATCTGGCCCTTTTGAAATATTATTTGTTCTGATCACTGCAAAATTTTTTGGACGGTAAAACTTTTATAGCAAATGACTTGAACAACATTTTTACTTTTTTTTGGTATAAAAGTAAAATGTGATGAAAATGCTGCTTATTGCTCTCCACATTTCAAAGGGCACCGACCAAAAAAAACTACTGCGTAAAATCGATTGAACTTATTTCCACACAAGCCTTGCTGTATCAGCTGTCAAAACGTATAATAACAATGCGACTTAAAAGGTTAAAAAGTTAAATTACACTCTTCTAAAGTTCAGAGGATTCAAGAAAGCGCACAAACGTAGTAGGATGAATACGTGCTAAACGACGCATCACACACGACGCATGTGATAGGCGGGCATCTTTTTGTCATATTCAAACCCGCTTACTGCAAAGTTTGAAGTTAGATGGGAAAAAATTTAATTAAATCCTCTGTCGAGAAAAAACAAAATTAGTTGTTTTAGTTTGTTTATTTTTAGTTGAAAAATGTCATTTTTTGCAGTTGAGCAGAATGCACAACTGGTTGATTGTGATCTAATCTTGGTCACCGATTGTATTATTTTTCATCGAGTTTCACAAATTCTCGAATGAACACCAGTATGAAAATCTGATGCGTAAAAACTGACGTTTAATAATTATTTTGTTTAATTTTATTTTTCAAAATTTTGTTGTAAAACTCCAAACATATATTTTTATGAAAATTTATTTAGTCAAATAATCTTCACATTCATTTTAATTTTGAAAATCACTTTTTTAAAAAATTAAATTGGCGGTTTGAAATTTGAATAATAGAGACTTATTCATCGTCGACAACTGGTTCCTCTTCTGGCTTGTCGCCTTCAGTTGGGCAGGCATGGAGGTACTGGACGAGGATGGCCCCATCATCGTTTCCGGGCACCCACTCGTACGGGATGGTGTTCAGGGAGCAAACGCCATCTTTCAACTGAGCGATGAAGCAGTCGTCAGTGTCGATGCAAAGCTGTTTGCACTCCTGGGCGTTGGAGCCTTCCTTCTTCACCTGCAAGTTCTCGTCCTTAAGAACGTTCCCTTTCACTTCAGACCAACAACCTGAAAGATGTTTGCGAAATAACAAAGGTAGGTACGTTAGTACATGTAGGAACGCTAGGAATTTATTAACGAATTTGTGCATTCACTGCATTGTTTTAAATATCATTTACAAACATAGCAAAAAGTGGATTATTTTTAAAAACATTTAAACTGACCGCCTTGATCACGGGGAGGCTGAGCGGCTGTTTGATGGTTGGAAAAATTTACAAATAATCGGCTAGTTATTCATTTATTAATAAAACTAGTAAATAAACTATTTATTAGAAACAATTAAAATGAGATTAATATAAAAAAAATTCGAAAATTGGTTACACATGACAATTTAAAAAATGAAATATCGGTGGAATCGATGGAACTGAATTAAATTTTAATTAAAAAAAACTCCTAAATTAAATATACAACAGTTGAAAAACTTTACACAGAGCACACAGACAAACACACATACAAACACGCACAGATACAGAGAGAGACAAAGCTAACCTTCATCTTCACAGTAAACAGCGACCAGCATGGAGCAGAGGAGAATGATTGCTATCTTCATCGTCGTCGTCGTCGTCGTCACGTTGAATTCAACAAGTTTTACGCAAGGTAGGACTCAATGGAATGGATAGCCGTGCGTTTGAAAGCTATTTGTAGATGTCTTAATGCGTGGTAATGCGTTGTATTTTGCGTTTTTATTCCCATGCGATGTTTAATGCTATCTACTAGTATAACAGTTTTATAAATAATATAAAGAGACGATATACAAATTATTTTTTCTTATATAAATTTTCAATTTATTAGGTATTTATCAAAATTAATACGCATCATCATCATGTTTACTCAAGTTTGCAAAGTTTGCTCACTGTGCTCACCACGTTAGGACGTGAAAACTGTAAATAAAAAAATGCGTGGACCGTTTCTTTGCCTATAATATAGAGTAAACCAATTTTGATAGCAAATAAATGCGGATGACTTGTGCCTGACCAACAAACTGCTACCACCACAAAGATCTCTCCAATACACTCGCCAAAAAAAGAGCAAAGAAATCTAAAAATTTATCGAAAGTGCTTTCCGATGAAAATTTTTTGTTCTACAGAATTTAAATTGTTTTTAAACAAAGCGGGATTTGTAGAATTATTTCCGCATAAACAAACATGTTCTAACAAATTTCCTAAAAATATCTGGATCCATTGTTATTTTAATTCAATTTTCCAACTTGGAAAATATTTGATATCGCGTTCATGAACCTTAACAAGAAACGACGAAAACACGTGGGTCAGAATGTATTAACATCTGATAAAACAAAATAATAAAAAATAATTTACTGAATTGTTTGCAGCACGTGCCATGTGTTCGCGATCAGGTTTGCGAAAATGTGCGTGGGCTTCGGAGTTGCTGAAAACTATCATCGTTATATTAATAACGTTTTATCGTATTCAAATTTGTGATATCTCTTTGTTTAAAAAATTCATTTTTGATATCATTTTGTTTCAAATCTATAAATTCTGTTACAAATTCTTACAAAGCAAGACATTGAAGACGATTCAAACATTCTATACGACCATTAAAAATTATTCTTTAATTTAATTTTTGCAAAAAAATGATAAATTTACTAAATATTTGCTTAAATAAGTTAACATATTAAAAAATCTGAAATTTTTTCTTCAGATGAAATTAGACTCATTAAAGAAAAAGTTAGTTTAATTGAAATATCGAAAGCAGTTGTTATCAGCTAATCTTTGAACACATGTAACTTCTTCTACATTCCCAACTCAGTAGTCATGAAACAACTGAAATACCCTATTATTTTTACATTTAATTTGCACAATTTTTTGAGTTTTAAAAGTAAAAATAAAAATTGAGGTTTTGTAACCAAACAAGTCTAATTGAAGAGATGGTTTCTTGTTGCCTGCTCTTAATATTGCTAGTAAGGTTGTCAAACATTTACCGTTTTAGCGTGTCATCAATTTTTCAAATAGTTTGTCAAAAATTGGAATATTTCATTTATTAACGCAATCTGCATTTAACTGAAACAAACAATTGCTCCAAGAATTTAAAATATTCAACAAATCATTAATTATTCAAATGATTAAATGGACAGGAAGCCAGCTGGTACTGCATGGAGTCAGGTTGGTCCTCCATCTTGTCACTCCAGTCGACAACTGCTTCTTTATTCCGGTAGCAAACGTTCGAAACAACTTGCAGGACGTAGCAGACAGGACCCACGTCATAACTCTCGCAGAATCTCTTGCATTCTGCAACGCCTGTTACTTCGGTTATAACTTCCAACTGACTGTCAGGCAGTTTCAACCCGGAATATTTATACCAACATCCTTCACGTTGAAAGATAAACGTTTCAAATTTTTACGAAATGAGGCAAAATTAATTGAAACAGAACTGTTAATAATTAGTGAGAAAATGTTTTCGAGTAAGATTCATTGTTCATGTTCATAGATTAACTGCTAGGTAATACTGAGTGCATTTTTTATGTATAGTTTTAAGTATTTATAAACATTCTCCATACTTTAAACAGAATTTTTTCAAGTTTGGAAATATTTTCAATTACTTTGAAAATATTTCCAATGAAGTAAAAGCAAAGTTAATTAAAATTTACTGAAGCAGTTTGTACTAATTAAAAAGAAACGAATGACTTCCTACCTCTCCCATCATACGATTCTTCAGGGACTGAAAAACAATCAAAATAAACAGTCAACAAAAAATTAAATGTTATCTTTAAAAAATTATCTTAATTCGTGTAGTTTTAGAAATTTAAAAATTACAATCTAACAAATTGATTCATTTATTTTGAGATGTTTGAGTGTAGAACCGAGACACTTAATGTGACAGCGTAACTGAAAATGTTCCAACACAAAAGTAGAATAATGAAATAATGATCTGTTAGCAAATAAATCTTTAATAAACTTGTTTATACTCCTGTTATCAGCGTAGAAGTTTCCAAAGACCTGGGCATTCGTCAGCCTGGTTGAACTAATGAAAATGATTGTCAAGACAATCGAAATCATCTTTTTCTTTGTACGAGTTGCGTAGATTTCAATGGAAAAAAAGTAAGTGTGCAATGTTACATTAATTTACGTTTTAAGGAGTGAATCTCGCTTGAATGCAGATATTTTGAGATCAATGCAAATATTTGAATTCAAACTTTTTATTTACACGGTACATATTTACGTGAAGCTTCAAGCTGTTCGATACTATTCGGTGCGAATGATCGTTAAACAGTTGACGAACTTTGAATTTGATTCAAATTTTGTTGTAATGAGAAACTTTTTCAAACTTTATATTGTTACTATTCTATATACGTGACAAAATCACATCTTTATATGTTTGAAATAAAACTTAGCTCCTCGTAATAATTTTTGTATGCTCACTTGAATTCTTCTTTATAACTATCAAGTAAGGATTTAACCAGAATCTTATAAATATTTTTTACTTTTGTGTTTATAAACTCAGATTGTCCGAACAGTACTATGCATCAATTTTTCCAAACATTTCATATTTATAGACTCTTGTCGTTTCTCAGTATTTTCAACATTACTTGGCCGAAGTAACTCATCGTGAGCAGCTCACAAAAAATTCATAACCAACAACACCCCATACAGATGTTCATATTTCTCTTCGATCTAATATTTATCTTATCTTTCATCATGTTCAATATTTGTTTAAGGATCTTGTTTTGTGTGGAGTTGTTGCTGAAAATTATTTGAACGCAATTATTTGAATATGAATTGCTTCAAGTAATTTACTTTTTGTTATTTTTTTACATTTGACTTATTTAGGGTATTTAATGTTTTCGTGACATCAAAAAAAAATTAAAATAAAGCAATCAAACTAACAAACAACCCACTAATCTTCTGAAGATGACCCGATAGAGACGTTTAACAGACCCTCAGCACAAAAGAACTCGCACAACCTACAATTTCATTTCAAGCACTTTGGCAATGAGACTAATCAATCAAATAAACAAATAAATCAGCAATAGACCAATCAGTTAACTAACCAACTACTTAAATAGCCAATCAATCAATCAAATAATCAACCAACCAATCAACAGTTTTTATTCAGCTGTTGCAAGGTAGGGAAAACACGTGGGTAGACAAAGTATCGATCGTTTTTAACCAATTGACACCAAAAGCAGTGTATTGGCTGCAAAACCGCTTTCAGCAAATCACCAGCTAAGGAAAAAAGAAGAAAAAGCAGATTCTTCAATGAGAAATCTCCAATCAACAGACCAATTAACTACCCAAGCAACAATCATCACCAGCTCAATCTTGGCACGTGACAGTAAACAGGTGGACACGTGGGCAGACATTAAATACAAACTGAGTTGATATGCGCAAACAATACAACGCGTAGGTTGACGCACGCCATTTCGGTTTTTAAACATTCTCAAACAAATGTGATTTCAAAATCACATCTTCCCCATCTGTGCTCTAGATAGTTGAGCAAATGATTCCAGAATAGGCGCTCTTTGTAATGGCACCAACTTAATAATATGTTGATATATAAGCATCTCAACACAGCAAACATTTCAATTCTAACAGGATTTAATAAATTACTTAATCCCCTATTTGAAACTTCTAATCAGTGAAATGTTATAACCGAAAACAAACTTCGGGTCTGCGTGAAGTTTCCAACTAAAATTTTTTGTTCAACGGCTTATTATCAATAGTTTATTGCCGACACGTAAAAATACATAAATTGCGCGGGTTTTAATTGAAAAATAGAGACATAATTTGTGAAAAAGTTTATCCATTCATTTATTGGTTTGTGTAATAAAATTAATGAAAAAACTTTTGTTGTTTAAAAAATTACATTTTATTTTTATGTAATTTTTTAAACCAAATTAAATTTGTTCATTTAAAATAAAGAGGCACGATGAGTCTCTGTTTATTCATCAACAGGAGCTTCTTCTCGGCAGTTCTGGTACTGCACCACGTTAGGCTGGTCTTGCAAAAATTCTTCCCATCTAAGATATACACCTGGTTTCAGCATGTAACATTTGTTGCCATCAACGATGTGAAAGAGGAAGCAGGTTGTGTCGAGACAATGTTTCTTGCAGGCCTCAACAGTGGTTGCGCCAGGGACCAGATCCACGGAGTTATCGGGCAACTTGAAGCCTGGGCTTTCGTACCAACATTCTGAAGGAAATTGAAACAGACAATTGCAATTAAAAATATCTTTTCTTTACTTCAAATCACAAATATTGTTCATTTAAAATTTTTAAACGCTCTTGATAATTTAAGATTGATTGGCTGTAAATAAATGGAGGGATCGAAATTTAATTCAAAAAAGACGTCAACAGCAAGTACACAGAAGTTAACCTACCTTTGCCCCAACGCACACCACTGACCAGCTGCAGAGCAACCAGCATGGCACAGAATGCAACCAACTTGAGCATCTTCGTCCTCAGTGTTATTGTTCTAACTACTTCAACTGCTCAATAAAAACAACTCAATGTTTCATGCAACTATCCAACAGCTATTTGTAGTGCTTCAAATGCGGGGGAATTCAGTGGGTTCTGTTAGGAAGATACTTGCAACATTTTCAACGCGTGGTGTTTGTGAGTCGTTTTTGCACACACAACCACAACTGCCTTTATATATATATATATATATTTATCTATTCATTTTTATATACTTTTACGATCATATGTCCACATGCACACATGTCTATAAATTCAACCAAAATATATTCACTAATACAAAATAAAAAAATTAATAAATTAATTAATTAAATGAAGACCGTGAACAATGAAAGATTAATTATTAGCTAGACACAAAGCATGAAAAATCAACACTCAACAAGATGAAATGTCAGGGTAGCTCACGTATCTACTCATAAACATTCATCTCCATCAGGACACTTCTCAGGTAGTTGAAGGCTTCACATCAGCTCTCATGTATCTATATATCACGTATCTATATATCATGTATCTATACATCATGTATCTATACATCATGTATCTATACATCATGTATCTAGAAATCGCCTATCGACATATCACGTATGTTATAAACGCCAGAAAATAAAATATTCGCACCCAGTTCGAGAAGGAACATTCTGACGGCGAGATGTCTATGTAGGACATGTGAGAGGCGACGATGAGATGAATGGCCGGTGATATTTGTATAGCGATACTGGATGAGCGATGTTGGTTGCTGGTGTAGAGGGCGATATTTAATGATATTTGACTCTTTGTTGAAAAAAGTTATTGCATTTTCAATATAAGTAGTCGATTTGTGATTTTGAAAAGCGATGGTTTGTGGACATTTTGACTTTCATCTGTACAGTTGATTCCATTGTCTTTAAACGAGGCAGTTATAACAACAGTATGTATTTATCGTGTATCTATATATCATATATATATATATATATATATATATATATACACCATGTATCTGTATATCTAAATCTACAAATCATATATCTTTATATCATGTATCTACATAGCGTTTATCTATATGTCATGTATACAACGTCAACATTTTGTTTGCTCAACAAGCCCCGCCGAGTGAAAGTTTCGTCGCTACGAACGTAAAAAATGCACAAAACTAACATTGATAAGCGTGGGTGAGTCATTTTTATAATTCAAACATCCGAAACCTGTCGGCATACACGTTTGGACAAGTTAGAATCACTCCCCACCCACCATCAATATGACAGGCATTTGTTTGTCTCTTGGCAACGATTGAAATTTCAGCCGCAACACTAAAGCTGCTTCATCTCGCTTACTATATAATTGTTTGAATTGAATTCATCCTAACACAGTGTTTTAGGTCCTGTGAGTTGGAATGAACAAAATGTGACGCACTAAAGAGAAATCTCTTTTTATTGATGATTGAGGGTTCGCTAACAACTTGTTCAATATTTTATTACAATAATCCTTCCTGCGGTGAATGAAAACGTAACTGTGTGTGTGTGTGTATGTTATGTGAATTACTTTGTGTGGGATTTTAAGGCAAATTTCCATTTTTGAAGACACGAGGAGTCCCTATTTATTCATCCTCACGAGCTTCTTTCCGGCAGTTCTGGTACATCACCACGTTGGGCTGGTCTGCCAACATATCATCCCATTCAACATAAACGCCTGGTTTTTCCATATAACATTTGCTGCTATCAACGATATAAAAAACAAAACAGTTTATGTCGAGACAATGCTTCTTGCCGGCCTCATCAGTTGTTGCGTCTGGGACCAGATCCAGAGTTTGTTTAAAGATCGTGTTTGAGTAGAGACGTTATAGAAACGTCAGAGTGAATAATAAATTCGCCAGCCTCTGTTTGATCGGCCGCCAGATTTTTCACGTTCTATGCTTTATGTTGGGTGACGTCAATAACGATGCAACTACTTATTAAATGGTTTCCTGACACTTCCTCCGTAGCATTCCACATTGTCCGTACGGAATTTATAAATTTTTCATCGCTAATTTTATTTTTATAACAGAAATGAAAAATGTTCGTTTGCATTCAGCTGTTCGACCTTATTTACTGTGTGCCCACGTTGAATGTGAATGCTAAGGAGAAGTCTGATACGTGCTAGGAAAAGGGGGGTGGGAGAGTTGGGAACTTTTGCTGTTTATTTAGCGTTCCAATCTGGCTGACGACAAAGCATAAATTGTTGCTGCCAGCAAGTGAAAACATACTGACAACATTGACAACTGACAAATGCAAACTTATTTCAATCAGCAATCTCTAATGTAGAAGGAGCGAATTTTTACATTCAAACGTTTTATTAAATGAACCAGTTATTGATACAAACATTTTATTAAATGAACCAGTCTTCGATAAGTTTAAAATATTTTTTACTTATACAGTGTACGAATACATGAGTGGATGAGTAAATAGATGAATGAGTGAGTGAATGAGTGGGTAAAGACTGTCACATATTCTACCGGACAGTGGTAGACAAGCCAGTTAACTAACCAACTGTCCTAACTAACTTATTAATCAACCAACCAGTCAACATTATCGATTCAGTGGTACAAGGCAGGAAACATCCGGGTGAACATGAAATATTTTTTACCACTTTTTTAAAAAATTTTGATGACTAATCTGCGTTCCAACCAATTTTGTTTGCTCTCGATTGCAGATACGATGGGGTTGGATTAAATAAAAAAGCTCCAACAAAAAAATAATTTTAACATGTTGAAATTGAACTGGCAAAATGATGAAGGACTGACTTATTTAATATTAAACAACAAAATATATTTTTTGAAAAGTAGTTTCTGTTAATTTGCTTGTTTTAAGTTTTACTTCAGAAATACTTTTAAAGTTTTGTTACATTTTACTATTAATTGAGTATTGTTTTTATTTCACTTGCACTTTTATTTAAATTCTGGAGTTCAGTACTTTAAACCACACAGCTCCGTAGATACTCAACTTTGTCCCTTTTTTATTTCATATCTACATAATTTAACATTGTAATGTGTAGAAGCCAAAACTCAAATTGTTAAACATATCGCCTGTGCATCATCATTCTCCAATTTTTTAGAATAATATACTAGAGTATAATATAACTTCCTTTGCTTTTTAATTTTTCATTAACTTTTGGGCAACTTTCAGCTCACAAAATATTAAACAAACGAAAAATTTAATTGGAAAATTTATTTCTTCATTAATACAGCAGTGTTAATTAAAACTTCCAAATGAGCTTCTAAATTTAATTTAATTAAATAATCAAAAGAACTGAGTTTCAGTTTATTCAAGGTGCTTCAGCGGGCTTGTCAGCTGGAGCATCGTCGCAGGAGGCATACGAGTAGATGTTGGAATCTTCTTGATCTGCCATGATCTTGTCCCAGTTGACTTCGGGGTTCTTGTTCATGAAGCACTTGCCTCCAGAGACTTGAAGGACGTAGCAGATGTCAGTCTCTTCGCAAACTTTCTTGCAGTCAGCGAGGTCTGTCTTGTCGGGGATGGCCACCAACTCGTCTTCAGGCAGCTTCTCTTTTAGGTAGTCGTACCAGCAGCCTCCTAAAATGAATTGCAACAATCTTTATTGTTTTATTTTATGATAATTGATTATTCAACTTTTACAAATGCTTCTCGATTCTCTAACAAAATCATAAATAAATAACCAGTCAAAGTAATAAGAAACATTTAGTTAGAATTAGAATTAAATATAAACATTGGACATAACGCGGCAGACGCACATTGCGAAACACAGAAGACAACCTACCTTCACCTTCAGCCCTGACGAGTTGCAGAGCAACCAACATGGCACAGAATGCAACCAACTTGAGCATCTTCGTCGTCGTTTAATGGTCTGCTGAAAAAATGACAACTCAATGTTTCATGCAGTTATTCAATGGCTATTTATAGTGCCTCAAATGCGGGGTTACTGATAGGAAGACATTTACAACGCTGTAATAGCGTGGTATCACGAGGGCATTTGGATGTATTTACATAGCACCACACATGAATTTATTGCATCTGCGTTGCCCGCTGCGAGTGTTTGTTTAGTGAAAATTATTTCGAATGGCAAATTTAGTTTTTTTTTAAATTTTTCGGCAGCAATCAGGTTGTAGATGAGACTGTTGCTCCATGCATACCAAACGGTCAAAACTGAATGATGAATACGGCTAAACCGTACAAATAATTGCTGAGAGGAATTTACTCGAATTTATTTTTTTCTTTTTACATTCCTACTTTAAGCACAATTCTAGATTATTTACAAAAACTTCATTTTCCCTTAACAAATGTCTTTCAATCCTCATCATCTTCCTCCTTCCTCAATATTTAAGTGGCAAGTCACCCTTCGGGCCGATGCGTTCGTTACGTTGCTGCTCGCGTGTGGAACGAGATGCTGCTAAAGTTCAGAAGTTGCGAATTTTAAAAAATGCTGAAAATCGACACATCCTCCATTCGAGGATGCAGACTCAAGACGCGTCTGAAGCAGCCGTGCAACTGCTGGCGCCACATAAACCGCCGTATCATTTGTTATTAATTTTTTTATATGTTTTGGAGTTATTTAGATTTTATAGACTACTAAACGATGAACTGTTTGTAATTATATTCTTTATTTAATGTCGTCCAACTGGTGTGCAGTCTAAGATCAAATTATTCTGATCTTAAGAGAATGGGAGAGTTATGATTGAAATTAGTTAACGTTTTAGGTATTTTCATTTTATTTTGACTTTTTAAACAAAGCCATCACCACAAAATGGCAATAACACATAACACACGCTTATGTTAACAAATATAATTGTTTGATAAATCTCGCGCGCAGCTGCTGTGTATTTTTTTTAGTTGTTCATCAAAAAGCGAATCGATATCAGATGAAATACTAATTTGAGTGTATCTGTCGAAATGAATTCAGCAGCCGCTTCAACCACCACCAGATTTTTTCCATTTCATTTAACGAAAAATGAATTCAGTCTCACTCAGAACAACTTATTAATTTTTTTGTGAACAATTGTTTATAATTTTGTATTTTTTACAATTTTTCAAAACGAATCCAATAAGGTATCTGCAATCCAGGCTGATATGGATTCGAACTGTGAAAACTTCAATTGAATGCACCAAATTAGGATGCTGGTATTTTAGACAGATATAACGTTTTTGCTACATTTCTACTAATTTTAACATAAAAAACAAGACAACCAAACAACGAGCCGACCTTTTAAGCAGCAGCTTAACATTCCATCGGAACATCCATTCATAAATGTATTCAATTCACTAATGATTTAATCAATCAAAAAACATTCAAACCAACTGAGTAAATAATAAACAAGCCAATCAACCAACCAAGTTCACTTATCATCGCTCATTTTTGTACGTGAAATGAAACACGTGAGCCAGTGGGTAGACATTAAATATTACGAGTTAAATAGTTGATCAAGCAAAAAAGCCAAAAAAGAATGCATTGGCATTTCAGTTTTAAAAAAATTTACAAACAATTATGATTTCAGAATCAGATCTTTATCGTCTTTCTTTGGCTAGCTGAACAGTTGATTCTTGCTAGACTTTCCTTGAAATTCCACCAACTTAATATATTGGCCTGTGACGCACCTTAACATTCTATTTGATATTTCAGATCAGTGAAATGTTATAGATGTTACTAATGGAGCCAGAAGCGCAGACTTTGACAGCCCTGTTTCTCACATAGATTACATATTTGTTGACTGAGAAAATTAAAACAGATGAAAAGTGCGCAAACTTGTCACTTTTTAAATTCTACAAAATCCGTTCATTTTGTTTTCCTTATCAATGTTTTGCATGATTTTGATGTTGTATTGTATTATTTACATTAAGAAAAGTTTAAAATTGAAAAAAAAATTTTAAAGAAACGATTAACTTTTTTAGTCATTTAACTTTTATTTATTTTAACAACCGAAATCAAAATATAGTGTAAGTTTTCAAATGAAATTAAATCATTTAATTTAAAACAGCTCGGCTTATGAGAAATCGTTAGGACCTTCCTGGCAGTTATAATAATGAACGGCGTTCGGTTGGTTCTCCATTATCTTACTCCAGTCAATGTTAACGGATTTGGGCATGTAACATTTGCCATTGACAATATCCACGAATCTGCAGCCCTCAGTTTTCAGGCAGACCATCTTGCAGTCTCTGACGGCTGTCTTGTCTGGGATGAGTACCACTAACTCGCTTGGGAACCTGTAACCTGGATGCTCCTGCCAGCAGTCTAAAACGAATGCAACAGTCGTAATTTTTTAAAATGTTTTTTTATTTTAAAAATTTTGAAAAATTATTAATAATTGTATGTGTACTAAACAATTCGATCTTTCAACAAAAATAAATCGAAGAACTAACTTAAAATTTAAAATAGCTTGCATCATGAACAGAAAAAGTAACTTACTTTCAGCACTGACCAGCTGCAGAGCAACCAGCATGGCACAGAATGCAACCAACTTGAGCATCTTCGTCGTCAGTGTTGTTGTTGTGACTACTTCAACTGCTCAACAAGAACAACTCAATGTTTCATGCAGCCATCCAACAGATATTTGTAGCCCTTCAAATGCGGGGAAATCAGTGGGATTTTGGTAGAAAGATATTTGTAAAGTTTTATGTGCGTGGAGTCATAACTTGTATTTGCACACTTATACATATCTGCGTATAAATATATATATATATATATATATATATATATATATATATATGCTGGAAGAAGTAAGATTATATATGCATATATAATGAATACAACAATTTTGTTTGTTCAAATACCACAAACACTGTAAGCATCGTGAGCCATGCACTGCTGACGTTGCTGATTTAGTAACTTCGAACAATCATGAAATGAAATGTCAACATGCACCATAAGTGTAAGGGTAATTTTGAAAAATATAAATGAAGTTATATTGAACAAAATCTCTAAATAAAATATAACTGTTTCTAGCACTTAGGCAATAACATTTGGTAACGGTTAAGGATAGACGCAAAAATTGGCCAAGTGCCGTGGGGTAACTAAATAACTCGTCGTCTTTTCTCATCAAACATCCAT